AAAATCCCCGGGTTTTTTCAAACCCTGGTTCAGACAAATCTAGAGTAAGCCATGTAGTTTCAAATACTGAAGGGAAAATTTTAAAATTTATTCAAATGAATATAAATTATGAGAAGACATTTTTAAGTTTTTTTCCAGCTATTGAAACTTAGTGGCTTACCTACCGCTACACTCACTTTTTTTTCTTTTGAATTAGTAATGGAGAGGGAAAAGAATTTACAGCAAAAAGTTTCTCCAGTGGTTTGGCATTCTCGTAAATAATAATAACCACTCAAAAAAAGAATTTTCAATGAAGTTTAATGACCTTTTATATATGTTCTAGTTTATGTTTAGTTTAATTTGTCAAATGATTGCAGTACAAATAAATTGCAGTAAAAGTAATTTTAGTGAAGTGTTTAATTTAGTCCTTAATTTCATATATTTCTTTAAAAGAAATGAACCATGAACTTCCAACATCAAAGTCTAGTATTTTGAGCTTTAAACTGATATAAACTGTTTGCTGAGATTTAAAATTTTGCCCAAGATATGAAGATTGAATGCTCCTAAGATGACTTACTTAAGTTTTTAGTTTATATACCAGCAGTATTTTGTAATTTGTATTTATGGCAGTTTTAATTTTCAAAATAAAACTTTCAATTCAGTAGTTGAAGAATATTTATTGTTTGAAAATTTTTTAGGTTTATCATATTCACAATGAGTGGGCACCTAAGGTTTGTTTATCAGGAACTTCTGAAATGGCACTGGCTACTTATTTTTCTGGAAAGACATTAGATGTTAACGAGTTGCCATTAAAGATTTGTGCTGTCAGCAGATGTTTTCGTGCTGAAGCCAATAAACATCAAAAAGAAAAAGGAATATTTAGGTATAACTTTTTCATTGAAGTAGTGTATATGTAGCAATGTTTGTTTATTATGGTAGTGACCAAAGAAAAAAACGAAAAATATGTCATCTGTTTCTGATAAAAATAAAACAGTTGGTAATGCATTTATTTTTTTTATATATATGTTATTTGTTATGATAAGTTAACCGCTTTTTAAATTAAGTCAAATAATGGCAGATTAGTCATGTCATTGATCATGCGTGTGTCGTATTGCTCATTGACTCTTTTAGATAGGGTAAGTTTTATCCTCTACCATAATTTTTCTCCGTGTGGAAAATGTAAGAGTAAATATGAACTTTAATTTTTTATTATGCATATATAGGGCTCACGTTAAGCATTTGCCAAATGCGATAAAATCGTAAATTCAGTGACGAAAAAAAAAAAAGAAAGAAAAAAGGATTTTTGTGAATGACTTTTTCCTTCCAGAAAATATATATATTCAGGGCTGATTGTGCTCTGGAAAGAATATGGAATTGCCGGAATTTTCGCTAACAGTGATTCATAAGTTTCCGGAGATTGAAGGTCCAGACGTTTCAAAAAATCATTGATCACAGAAGTTTCGGGAAATCAAATTTTCAAAGGTGGAACTTAAAAACACAGTTTATTTTATTTGTTTGTAAGGGAGAGCCAGAGAGATACTTTATAAGCTTATATTCATGATTATCAGTAAATATAGTTGTTATGATCATACACTCAAGAAACAAAGACATATTTGTAAATTTTAATTACTTTCCATGTCATCATAGGTATGTGTAAAATTTTAAATATATTTTAAGTAAACTAAGAAATATTGAGAAAAAGGAGAGAAAAACTTGTTTAAATTTATTTCTAATTTTTCAATTTAAACTTCTTTTTTTTTTTAACTCAAGAAATTTTCCTGAATTTTGACTTGGGCTCACAATTACCCCTGTATATTCCTCTAGATCTTGAAGGAAAAAAATGAAGAAAACAAAACCTGTACTTTTTATTCGATTATAGTAAATTTCCATTATATATGTCGCTTAACCAATTGGAATTATATTAACTTCTGATAATGTTGTGAGCCACAAAGATTATGAGTCAGACAAAAAGTACGGTTTATTAAGTAGACAAATACAAATTGAAAACGACACTATCTTGCAGTATTAAAAAGAAAAATGCTTCGTATCAATCCTTCCATCTTAAGGAAAACGATCTCTCTCTGAAAGAAGGATTTTACTGTTTGATTCAAATCAAAACACATATAGAGATATTATTTCACTCGATATAATTTGAAATTAAGCTTATTTTTTCCAAAGAGAAAATTAACTTCTCAAATGTTGCAGCTTTAATTAAGAAATCAGGATTGTTATTATTAGTAATGTTGTAAACATTTTTTTATTGCTTTATCTTTAATGATATCTTTATAAAATGAAATGAACAGGAGCAGTAATAAATTTTTTACCGTTCATTTTATTTAGCATATTTATAATCCAAATAAGTTCTCTAGCTGTGTCAGCTGCAGCAAATAATTCTGCTTCACATGCTGATAGTCCTATATATCTTTGTTTTCTACTTTTCCATGTTATAAGAGAATTACGTATCATAATTACAGAACCCGAAGAGATTGTCCTCCTCCTGCGTTGCCCCAACTTGCATCCACACCACAGTTTAATGAACCGAATTCTTCACTATAAAACATAACCCTGTCTTATGAACCATTCAAATATTTCAAAACTCTTTTAGCCAAAACAAAACATAATGCCTTTTTTCAGAATGTTTATTAAATTGTGATAAGTAATGAGTTACAAAAGCAATATCTGTTCGGGTTCTATTTGGTTCTTCGATGAGCAAATTTGCTATTTTCCTAGAAATTGACTAAGCTTTAATTTTTATACACTACTAATGTTAGTTTTCACTGTTAAGTAAGTGGAATAATTGGCAGATCCCTATTCATCTTGAAATCAAAACAAAATAAATCACTGGGAAACTTTCATTCAACTTATTAACTTAATTTCAAGTGGTTGTCGGATCAGGTGATATCACACAATGAAATTATTTCTTGCAGTTTGTTGTCAATTAACTAGATGAAATGCTAGCAAGATGCCTAAATACAACGGATATAAAAGTGCCCAAGTTGCAACACTACAATACAAATTCAATTAATTGCTTGCAAATAGTTTTCATTTCACGGGGTTCCCGCAGTGTACTTGAAAGTCCTTGAATTTTGTTTGAAAAAATCAGGTCCCCAAAAAGTCCTTAATTCTATTATAGTGTCCTTGCACAGTTTTTGATTTTCTCGAAGTAATTTTCAAAATAATATTTTCTACGAGAAAAACACAGAAATAGTAAAAAAAAAAATTTAAAGAAACTTCAGCAAAATTATTACGATTTTGATCACTCACTTTCATTTCACAGTTTTCTTGATTGAAGAATAGAAGCCCAGCGAAGTCCATCTAATTTTCTAGTCTGATTTAAATTTAGAAAAGTCCCTTATCCTTATTTACTCCTCTCCTGTGATTGGATTGCAAAATACCAGTAGATGTCTAGTATTAGCCTTGTCTAGTATTAGCCTTGTTTTAACCACGTGTCGCATGCACTAATTTTAAAACGTGCATTTTTTTAACCTTTTTAATTTATTTGCTAACGTGTGAAAATGAAAATTTCATTCTAATTTGAAGAGCATGGAAGGTGCTTCTTTAAATTCTGATTTTTTTTTTTTTTTTTTCATTTTCCAATGATTAAAATTTGGAAAATTTTGATATACAGTTTTATAATTCTCAAAGTTAGATAACATAGATGAACACACTGTGCACGGATACATTGGTGGTGATTCACCAATTTTGCAGATATTGCAGCAATCACATTGTTAGCTGTTGAACTTAATCAGCTGATTTTTACAACGAAAATAGATGATTGTGGTGACAGCAGGAAATCTTTTAATGCAATTTCGTTTGGAGGGAAATTACTAATGTTACTGGATATGATAACTACTTTATATAAATGTAATTTTATGTATAACTATTAATATTAATGGGCATGTATATATATATTGTCAAGACTAAGTAAAAGTATTCAATAGTTAACCAACTTCATATATTTAATAAAATTATTCCATTATCAAAAATATTAAGATGCAGATACTTTTGGATTGTGTGCACATATACTTTATGTTTTTATCTTACTATGATAATGCTATCAAATATGAAATGGTAAAGAAATTTGCACTAACACAATTTTCAAAAAGCTCCATGGAGTAAATTCTTGAAGGTGAAATAGGAATGCGTCATTTTTGTCTCCTATGTAGGTCATTGAAATTTTTTATGAAAATTGAGTTGAAACCCTGTTTTTTGTCCCATCTGTCTCGAACAAGGAGGCTTTTTTTATCCAGTGTTTAAAATTTATATGTAAATGATGTCAATACTTTGACTGCAAACTCCCAGCTTTAACAGTTTTACTTTGGAACAGACCTCATCGAAGCCTATTGCTCTATCTTGAGGACAAGGGATTTTATTTCTTGATTTAACTTAGCTTTTTTCTTATTTCTTTTGATTTAAACAAGTTGCCTTAGTTTTAGCCTAGCTTTAAATTTTATAACCTATTTTAAGGCAAGTTATCGACAAAGCATGGCTCTTGCTTCAAAATTGTACAACATTCTTTCCTTCACTTTTCTCTAAATGCATATTTTTAATAAAGTTTCGTATAATAGTTCAAAGTGAGAGTTACCTTTTTTTTATTTTTTTTATATATAAAATGTTATTTTGTTCTTTTCAGGGTTCATTATTTCAATAAAGTTGAAATGTTTAGTGTAACACCCAATGAATCTAGTAATGAAAGTGAAGAGATGTTGAATTATTTTGTTGATATTCAAAGAGAACTATACTCTGAATTAGGTCTCCACTTTAAAGTTCTTGAAATGCCTCCTTGTGAACTTGGTTTGCCAGCTTACCACAAAATAGATATCGAGGCCTGGATACCTACTCAAAAACTGTATGGTGAAATTTCTAGTACTTCTAATTGCACAGACTACCAAAGCAGAAGACTAAATATTACATATTCATCGCCTGGTGGCAATCAGTCATTTTGTCATACCGTTAATGGAACAGCATGTGCTATTCCTAGGCTACTAATAACTATACTAGAAAATTTTCAAAATCTTGATGGCAGTATTACAATTCCTATACCACTTAGAAAATTTATGAAAAAGAATGTTATTAATGAAAAATTTAAAGAAGTTTCTTTTTGTATAAGACCTATTCCATGAGAGAAGCATAACTGAATGTTGAAATTTTAAACGTAAAACTAGTAAATGTAAAAAATTGTTGTGATTATTCCTTTTTATGATTGAATTCAAGTGAAGGAAATTTTATTTTTACTTGATGTTTTTTATTTACTTTTACCTGATGTTATTGACCTGTTTCTGAAACTAAATACTGTTTAACTTTAGAAAAATAGGGGGGGGGGGGTAATTGGCCATGTTAATTCTTTGTTACTTAGTAATTCAAAACAATTACTTACTGAGAGCATTTAGCATTTTTGACTTTTATAATTAAATCCAGTTTCATTGCTTCAATTTAATATCTTATTTAATCAATCATGAGTTATCCTTATAAAAATGTGTACATGGAACCTTATACCTAGACTGACGACAGGTTGCCCCTAAGGTATCCTTTGGTATGTATGAGGAACTCCAGTTTCATTAGTAAGACAAAATGAGGGTATTTCTACATATTTATAAAAAGATTTTGGATGTCTAATTGATCTAAGTACAAACAATCCGGCTCTTTCAGATTTTTTAGATGTACAGTAATTTTGTTTTTCTCATGTTTAAGTATTTTCTGTTGATTGTTCTGACACTATAACAGCATGCATTGGTAATGTTAATAATTCATAGTACTACAGTTTTACTTTAATTGTTGGCTATTTTATTTATTTTATAAATTTTCCTGCAAAGATAATAAAATATGCATATATTTAATTAAATATTTAACCAGTTGATAACAATGTTTACTTTTAAACAATAACAATTTATTGTGGGAGATTATTGAAAAAAGGTAAGATATTGTGGAAAATAAAATAAGAGCATTATTGTAGAAAGACTTATTTTGTTCAGTTTTGTTAAATATTGTACTATATTAAGTTTTGAAAAATTTATATTGTTGATTAAACTCTATACATTATTATGTTTTTTATCTGAAACAAATGATAAATAAAATCTGCTGTCGTTAGCAATTATTATTTTAATATTTTTTTATTTCTTTTTCCATGTGTAATGCTGATAATTTAATGTGAAAGGTTTCATAATTTTACTTGTATTGTTATAAAAAGCAAAGTATTTCTATAATATTCAATTATAAGGGGCTCATGGGGATTAATTTTTACTTGCTGATTCAGCACACTTTACGAAATTATAAAGATTATATATTTTTTTTTAAGCCATATCAAAATTCTTTCATTTAGAACTTAATTGCTAAAAAAGTTGTATGTGCAAGCAGTTTTAAGTCTGCAATATTAGTTATGTAGTATTGTTCATATAAGTAGACAAGGATAAGCTATATTTTGATACCATACCGATTTGCTCAATATATCACATTTCTAATGTGCAAATTAAGATAAAAGTAAGTAAACTCAAATATTTTCTATTTTAATAATTGTAACTGGCTGTAATTTGTATATTTAAAAAATAAGCATATTGAATAAAGTTTTAGTTTAACAGTTAATGCTGGCAAAATTTTATTTTAACTTTCCTCAGGGGGTTTATCTTTTGATAAACACGGGTGTCACAATCCCGAGGTGCCCCAGTGTTCTATTTCATCTGCTGGTCTATTTTGGAGATAAAAACCGTTGTACATTTTATCCAATTGCCTACATGCTGACTTTGTCTACATTCAAATTTGCTACCACTTTACAATAAAATCATGATTTCAGCATTTTTCTGGAAAATCTAACAAATGCCCTTTGAGGGAATCTATTTTTATCATGCTTTCAAAAGTTAAGGCTTTCAATCTAAAAGCATTTTCCAAAATATTTATTCTGGTTGTATTTCAAGGGGGGGGGAATTAATTAATTGAAATGTATGTGATGCAAAAGTTGTTTGCAAACTATATAACTTAAAATATTCTCTGCTAGTTCATGTTCTAATATTTCATTCTTGTTAAATATATCTATTTATAATGACACTTCATACTTTAAAATGCAAGAAGCTAGGATTGAAGAAAATTTATTTTTTTTAAAAAAATGTGTTTATGCTATTTTGAAAGTTAAATATGTGGCTTGAAAGTCTCTTTGTTTCTCAAAGCTTTCAGTATAAAGTGTTTTAGCTGTTGGTCTTCTATGCAATTTTACACTCTGTGTAAGTAAATTATAATGAAAATTGTATACAAGAAATCATAGAAGTAAAAAATGTTTGGTTTAAAGTTATGTCATTGCACGAATCAGAATCCAATCTTCTCTAGCAGTTATTCCTCCTCAGGGAGTTTACTTTCAAGTAAACACGGGTGTCACAATCCCGAGGTATCCCAGTGAACAGTTTCTCCCATATATTAGATCCTGTTACATTACATTATAAACAAACCAGGGTCTGTTTGCCAGGAGCTAAGAATAATATACTGTATTTAAAGAATAATTAACTTAATGAATTTTGTCCCAGTAAAGCAGTTGAAAACTTGAAATGTGTATAGCTTTACTTTAGAAATAAGACTGATGCAGCTTTATTGACGGCTTTTTAATAATTGCATTAATGCGATCAATGCATACTAATTGTATATTGAGTAAAATTAGTATCGTTTACCTTTAAAAAGAGAAAAGCAAACTGTAAACCCCCAACGAATTAACTCTAAACCAAGTCAATCATAATTGACGTTATATACATTCTAAAGTAGTGGTCGTCAAACCCTACTCCATAACCGCACTAGCTTGCAATCGATTTTTTTGAAAAACTAGAAAATTTGGTTGAAAAGTATGAAATATTTTTAAAAAACTAGCAGATTTTTTTCAAAAACAAAATAAAAAATTTCTTCAAAGAAAACGTTTTGCAAAAACATCAATATTTTCATAAAAGATTAAAAAAAAATGGGTATAGCCTCCAGTATACACCTTGTCCTCCCCTTAATAACCATTTTTTCCTCAACCATAGGGCAGTGTTCTTAAGTCTTCCTTGATCACACGCTTATCATAAACAACTCTGTACATCTTCGTTTCAGGTTTGTTAACAACTCTCCGTCTTGTTGAATCCTTGAAATTTGGTGCGGTTAAGAAGAAAAATATAATCTTCACTCAGCTCACAAACCATTTTCTTTACGGACTCGAAGTTTAACGGTTTAGAATAACGAAAATTTAACGTAAAGCCTCTTACCTTGCAGCATTGTTTCCCGTTAGCTGCCTCATATGCATAGTTTTTAGGTCCACTTTAATAAAAGAAAGTAATAATTACAAAAATGAAGGGGAAAAAATCAAAAATTTCTAATGTACTATTATAGTTTGAATTGAAATTATATTCATTTTCCAAAGATTAATCAATATCTAAAGATAAACATAATCCAATTACCGGATACGAAAGTTGTGATAACATCTCCATCCAACTCATCCGTGAAATTCCCCAAGAAGTTTCCAAGAGGAGGATCATTTTGGGCGTAAATTATGGAGTCTGTGTTGCGGTATAATACGCTCTCTCACAATTTATCTATTCCCTCGTAAACCTTCATCATTGCCCATGAGGTAGTAAATGCAGCCAAGAAAATATTCGTTGATTTATCTTGTGGCACAAAATGTTTACCTGACTCCCAATGTACGGTAGAAACTTCTTCATTAAATAGATAGACATCTTTGATTTGTTGGAAAAAAGTATACGGCATGTTAAACAGCAATGAAAATGTTTACAAACAATTTAATTATTTGAAAAATAGACTACCTTTTTCATAGTGTCAGCAAACATCTTATTAAAATTAGGAAATGCATTAACATGTGTCAGTTGGCTCTTATTACAGTTCATTCCCTATCTAAAAAAGACAATAATTGCAATAAATGAAGATTGATAATATAGTGTTCATCGCAAATCAGTTGTTTAACAATAAATTTAAGTTACCTTCCCCAAAAACTATTGAGTATCAACTTTGCGACTTGTCGTCGTAAATTTTTTATAATTTGAGAGTATTCTAGGGCAACGCCTTTTTTTTACCATGTACTCTTCAATGTAGTTAAGACGATCTTCTGATGCACATTCAGCAGGCCAGCCATTTGACTCCTGCTTTATCATCAAAAACAAGTCAATAAAGCTTTTGAAAAGAGAAGAAGAGTTCTCAAAGTGGTACACTTCATGAACCTGAAATATATATATATTAGTACGACACAACATGCAAAAATGTATAGTTTTTTACCATAGAACAAAACAAAAAAAGTTGACCTCAGTATGCAAAAAAAAATTAACGCAGATTATTTTTTGAGCATCGGTAATGTTTCTATCAAAAGTAAAATTTTCTTCACAGCTGGCGAAAAAAGATTGGATTAAATAGTTATTAGTTTCGTTAAATTGCCTCATCGTCAAAATAAGTTCGCGCATAATTGAATAATTATTATCTTTCTGTGTGAATACGGAATTGGAATCAATCGAAGAAGTTAATTTATTTTCAACCCAAGGTTAGGAGTTGAAAGTTCGTTGTGATGAATAATTCCAGAAGTTTCGATTTCACTTTCATCGTCAGCTAAAGAATCAGAAATGGAATTTAGTGTATCTAAATCGGTTAAATTAGCAAATATTTTTTCACATAATTCCTAGACAATCTATTCCTAAACTATTGCACAAAATTATTAATTGCGATGAATTAAATTCTTGCAATACTTTATCTTTTCTTTTAACAATGTTAGTTTGGGCGGGAAAGCACGTAACTTTTTACGTGAATTACGATCATATTCTTCATCAAATATAACTTTAAATAGCAATTTTACAGTAGATGAAGATGCTGTTTTATGAAAGTTTTTAATATAAGGTATATCGTTCAAAGTTATCATGTTGGCAATGTACAAATTGAGATAGAAGATATCTGAACAAACTCACCGGTTTGTCGTCGTCTTTTGCTTTTCCACTTCAAATAGTCAGCGCGCTTTCGCTGACATTTAATATTAGTCATTATTTGAAGATAATTTCGTAATCAATTAAATATCTAATACGAAACAATCCTCCTCGGTTATCACTCTAGGGAAGAGTTCAGGGAGCCGAGCTCCCATTTGTTAATATGGGCTGGCTAATAAAACGCATTCTTGATAACTAAGCGAATTTAATATAACATGTAAAGTAAGGACAGTCACAACATCACTAAAGGAAAAAACACTTATAGAAAATAGCAGGGAGAAGAACTTCTCTTCGTCACATATTCATAGTCTCCCTCTCGTGACAATATCAGTTATTATCGCCATCTGGCGGCGTGTTATAGTTACGTTCAATGGCACTCAACATCTCATAGCCCTTCCTTAGAGCCAATTTCCCCCCTTCTGTGACGCACGTTCCTGTAAGATTTCTTTCTTCCTCTGAGTGTGTACAGGAACTTTGTTGCTTAGTCTCAGCTCAAGTCCTGCAGAGCGGAGACATAAGTTTGTTGTGGCAGCGATATGGTAACACTAATAAGTATAACTGCTTAAGAGGAGCAGTGGTGCACTTAATCAGTCCAAAATAACTCTTCAAGAAAGCAAAATCTTTGATGATGGTTGGGTGTCCAACCGGATACTTATTTATTATTAAAGAGACGTGACTTATTCATTATTATAGAGACGTGAAATCCACATACTTTGCATTTCCTTCATGATAAAGCTTAACGGCATTCGTACGTCCCCCATGAAACGCATCTCCAGGAGCAAGGCGATCTCTTACCGTGTGTGAGATCAAAAAAATCTAGATCTTCATCATCTCTTTTCATTTTCTCAGCATTCTATAACATGGTAATCTAAAGAGCAAAGATCCTCTGTCGTACGTTGATATTTTTGAAGTAGTGATACCGTCGTTACCACTTTTAAATTATGAAAAACATCTCTGTCGAAACAAGTATCGCATCCATGGGAAGAACATCCCTAAAATAATTAGCAATATTTTTTTAAAAAAAAAACTCACCAGAAATTTATAGAACGTGTTCAGAACAAACGCCGTCTACATACATCCAACTTTACATTCACCGGTATCATTCAAAGCATGTTGTGTAGCAACATGCTTTGAATACCTTCTTTCTTCTTTTTTTTATATCTTTGATACCTTCTTTCTCTGCCATAAAATCGAGCCACCGTATGGAATCGGGACTGTAATTTGTACTGGATGTATATCCCAATACCGGAACCATACCAATCGTGTCAGGTTGAATACAAGAGCTTCGAAACGCAGCCATGC